TACCACCATCATATGAATCAATCACGAATGGAACCTTAACATCATACGATACATCATCGATAGCCATCGCTCCAAGACACACGATACACCTAACAAAAATATTAAAATCCGACCGGTAATATATGAGGACAAACAAAACGATTAATACTAATATAAATAAAACAGAATGGTATAGAAATACTAACCTCTAAAGGAAGATTATACAATCTGCGACGAACAATATTTGGAAAAAAAAAAACATATTAACAAAGGCTAACAAATAAGACGAACACCAAACAAATATATTAACAAAAGATTAAATAACCTTTTAAAGTGTAACACAAACTATTGTCAACGCTAAAAATTAAATAAACCAAGAGATACGCGTTAATAAACATAGATCAACAACCACCAATACATAAATAAACACTAATCTGGTCGACAAAGACGCAACTACTAACCTCAAAGAAGATGCTATTAGCTGCGAAACACGATACACAAAAAAAAAATATCAACAACACCAATAGATTAAACTACGACAATAGAAGAACACGATAAATAACAGAAGACGATGAGAAACATACCTCAATGAGGTTGCTTGTGGGTGGGGATACTGGTATTTATAAGAACTCGACGACAAAATCTAGGGTTCAATACAACTGACAATGAGCTATGGGCTTCGTAACAAATTGACAATTCCGGATACAGTCCACAATACCACAACAAAAGCCCGATCCAACACTTGAGCTGGATGGAAAAGGACAAAAAAACCACTTCAATACAACCGATAATGAGCTATGGCCTTCGTAACAGATTGAAAATTCCCGACACAACCCACGACACCATAACCAAAGCCCAGTCGACCACATAAGTCATATGCAAAAAGACAATAAAGCCACGGAGCCACTCAACCGACGTTCACATATCCAGGACAATTTGGTAAAACAACACAGATCGAACGAAATTTAATTATCACAAACTCAAGAATTATCGCAAATAAATATGCCAAAGTACCCCCCTGAGAGCGATCCTCGAGCTGACACGTCAGCTTTTTCACTTCGCAAATAATAGATAGATATTCCGCTACATTTCAAGAT